AAGGGAAAGAGCTAGATTGGCTGGGGATGTGGCATCAAGAGCCTGAGTCTTCTGTATGTGTCTAACCCCAGCTCCATCAGGCAGCTTTAGTCTGGGGCTCACACATCCCACGGGAGGCCTATATAGAGCATTAACCTGTGTCCAAAGGAGGCAGCAGGAACACGCTGCTGTCTAGAAAGATGACTTTTTGCCGTGCTTGCTTTTTCACCCAGGTTGTCCCCCCTACCCCAATTTGAGAAATTTGAGCTTTAAAGGAATGTAGAATGTGGCAAGTTCACCAACTAGTTTTTGTTTCCTTTTTGTATCTGCCTTCGTGGTCCCTCTTGGATATACAGGGTTAGAGTTCTTATACTGTATTCTTACACTGTTCACCCCCAATAACTGCAAATGCTTATTGGATCCCTCCCATCTCGATATATAAAGATTGGAAGCCAGACCAGTTCTTAAATGCTACATACAACTTCCAGGTTCTGAAGAAGTCAGGTTCTGACTGTAACCTTTGAGGTCTAGAGTGGGACTCACATTCAGTTTGTACCTCAATTAGGGGGGATACGGTTCCTGTTCTCTTATGTCCTGCTTATGTTCCAGGATGTCCTCCATCGACCACCACTGAATTCTTTTTACTAGCAAAGTTACCTTTGCCTGTTTTACTTCATTCTTTTTTTTATGGCCTCTGTTTGAAGAGGGAGGCAGTAGGGAGCAAAACACTCTTTAGCATCCTTTACACCATGCTTCATTACTGCTATGGTTTATTAACCAGAAAAAAAAAAAAAAAGTAAAACACTTTTTTTTGGGGGGTGGAGGAGATAACTGTTCCTACTTATCTTGCTCATAAAGCCTTTTCTTGTGGGATCTTAAGGCCCTGGTGTCTGAAAGCAACATTCACGTACATCGCAGCAGCATTTCACCCATCAAACCTAAACTGAGCCTGAAAGACCTCATGTTTAACACAGTTACATCTTTTAACGCATTCTGCCTCTCCTGTTCATTCCTGTTTTTGTTGGGTTTTACATTTGCAGGGGAGTTAATAAGTCATAGGCCCTTATCTCTCCCCATTCTCTAGTCTCGAAATGGAGTTGAGAGTCTGAAGTACCTGAGATCTAGGTGCTATCCCGAACTGAGCTACACTCTGCCACCTTAGACTGGTCCCCTCAGATATAAGACTGAAGTTTAATTGGGAATTTGGAGAAAAATCTTTCTAGAAGTTTGTGTTGGAAGGTGAAGGTGAGCATTATACATTCCCTCCTTAGGAAGGCTCCAGCCTAAGCTAGGGAGTGGATTTCACCTGTTCAGTAAGACACACATTTGGGATCAAACCAAGAATTTGCATCTAACTAGACTCACTGCCAACCTCCAATATAATTTGATTTTTCTGAAAAACTAGTTTCTTAATATAAGTCCATCCCTTCATTAACTCTGCAATTCTGACTCACCTATCCCAAGCTTTTAAATGCTAAATATTAACGTTTAGCATTAACTGTCTTGTCAAGCAAAGGGCCTCTTCTGTTTCTGGTGCTACCTGAGTTGGACAGAATTATAGTTCATGGTTGCCAGAAAGGCTAGGCCTCTGATCACAGAGGCAGAGAGCTTCAGTCCTGCTTAGTCTAGGCCTAGATAAAAAAATGATGATTACAACGCTTAATTATTTTCCAATTTCCTTTCTCACACACTGTACGCAGGTAGTATTTCAATGTGAATCCAAAGCTTGTCCGGTTCTCTAAAAAAAAATTTTTTTTTTTTGCCTTTTAGGTCCTTTACATTGTGATAATGCTGTATTTAAAGAGAATATTTAAATAATATTAAAGAAATATTCAAAAGAATGGTGTGTTATTCTTTATCTTGGCAGACCACAAGTCAGTTACTTGTTAGAGAAAAGATGCTTCTCTAGCATTGTATATAAAACCAATTAGGTCAGTTAAGGATTAATGTTAACAATAGGAGTGTTTTATGGTGGAAAAATAGAACATTCTTTGGAGCATCAAGAGCTTGACTTGGGGGCTTCCCTGGTGGCGCAGTGGTTGAGAATCTGCCTGCTAATGCAGGGAACACGGGTTCGAGCCCTGGTCTGGGAAGATCCCACATGCCACGGAGCAACTGGGCCCGTGAGCCACAACTACTGAGCCTGCGCGTCTGGAGCCTGTGCTCCGCAACAAGAGAGGCCGCGAGAGTGAGAGGCCCGCGCACCGCGATGAAGAGTGGCCCCCGCTTGCCACAACTAGAGAAAGCCCTCGCACAGAAACGAAGACCCAACACAGCTCACCAAGAAAGGAATTCTGAGGCCAATTGCTAGGATGATAAAATATTTTCTCATCTCATTAAACTTATATTTTTAAAGCTTGAGATGAAAATCTGGCATGAAACAAACAACAAAAATTATTATTTGATCACACTAAGGATGTTTATATTGACAGAGCAATACTTAGACTCAAAGCATGATGATCTCCTTGGGGAATAGAAGACAAGAGGGAAGGATGGGGAAAGAACTGGGAGCAGAGAGGATCTGAAATGAAACTTGTATCCTAAACTGAGTTAGGTCCTAGGGAAACTGTCCTGGTTGCAAAAGTAAAGCCATGTAAACGATGTTGTATCCTACATATATAGCTTTAGTATTCTGAGTCCATTAATTGGAGATCAGAGTCAGGAAATATAGGAATCAAACAATAATTAGGCATTAATGAGCTAGATGGTAGAAATGCAGGAATTCATTGCTCAGTATAAGTTCAGCTGAGGGGTAGGAAACCGGTAATATAAGATCTAAGGCAGAAGTTAGCTTTATTGACTGGACAAACACAGAGTAGGGGAAGCTACAAAGGAGTTCCTAAGAACATTAGCCCCTGAACATGAGAGTTATGTGGGCATCTGGAGGTTTTTGTACCTGTCAGGGTTCTTCAAAGAATCAGAACTAATAGGAGATTAGATAGATATAGATAGACAGTTGACATTGATAGAGGTGTTATTTATAGATCTTATATTATTCTTATATAGATAGGTAGGGATATTATATATAGAGATAGACACATATACATGTGTATATATATATATATATATATATATATATATGAAATTCTCTATTCCTGGTTATCATCTTAAAATCCAGCAAGAGGATCAACTTCAAATTAGCTCCTTTGTCATTTCCATCCCATCAGAAGGTTCTATTCCAACCAGTTATCTCGCCATTAGTTAGCTCATGTCAGTCTTGTAAAAGGAGCCTTAGTAAAAATGATTAGGGTATATGCATAAGTAATTTCCAGCAACTGGTTTCAGGCAGCCTTTAGTTGAGCTTAAAAACAGTGCTTCATGCGTTTACAATAAGTTACTACAGGTCACTGATGCACACAGACAAAAGCTGAACCCAACTTACTATCTCAGAGTAGACCTCTCCTGGTCTCGGGCTGGGCAGTAATTTGTACCTTACAGGATTGATCCACGGCCCAAAGAAGGCAGCCACTGTCAGCTACAGTTGGACAACACACTGGAAGTAGCAAAGCATTTAAGCTCCACAGGGGCTGTAGCCCAGTCCAGAAATTGAGAGAGGGAGGGGAAGGCTGTAAACACTTGAGACAAGAAGCGCTTGTATTTCCTTTTATCTTTCCATTAGAATGTTCCCATAAGTTATTTACTTAAAAAAAAAAAAAAAGTTAAGGTGCTCAAAGGATTTGAAAAAAAGGTAAGTGGTTAGCCCTGTGAGGGGAACAAAAAATAAAAATCCCTATTTTTGGTCGTATCAAACTGCTGACAGGGGCATCAAAGTACATGCATAGATATAAAGGCTCCAGTTTAAGTAGTGCTGTTCCCCTCATCAGCCAGAAACTGTCTTGAACAAAAACAGCTGTAACGGGGCTTCCCTGGTGGCGCAGTGGTTGTGTCCGCCTGCCGATGCAGGGGACACGGGTTCGTGCCCCGGTCCGGGAAGATCCCACGTGCCGCGGAGCGGCTGGGCCCGTGAGCCATGGCCGCTGAGCCTGCGCGCCTGGAACCTGTGCTCCGCAACGGGAGAGGCCATTACAGCAGTGAGAGGCCTGCGTAGGGCAAAAAAAACCCAACCAAACAAAAAAAAAACCCAGCTGTAATGACTGTGGCAGTGGGTAAGTCCTAGGCCAAATGAGGATTCCCACCTGGGGCAAAAGCTCACTTCCTGGGATCCGAACTTAAAACACCATGGTAAAAGCCCAGTACAAAGGCTGCTGCCAGCTCCAGCAAATTCTGAGGAAGTTGGCCCCCTCTCGTGGGCTGCCCCAGTAGGAGGGTTTCTTTCAGTTCCAGCTGCCACACGGGCACCTGCTCCTCTGCCTTGCACACGCCTAACAGGGCACACACTCTTTGCTGACAAGTGCTGTTTGGTCCCACGCTGCTGGACTTGGTGACTGCATGCAGGACAATGCCACCCGCTCCTTGTCGGCTCAGCGCCTTGTCCCAATGTAGTTGATGGAAAGCAGGACCACATTGTGTAGCAAGAGGGACAGCTCAGCTTCTGAAAACAACATCAACATTAATGGTTTGGCCAGGGAAGAGCCTGCCTTCCAGCTACCTCGTTATGCGGGGCTTGACACCAGAGGCAGAAAGCCAAGTACAGGGAGGTGTGACATTAAGAGGCCACTGTTCTCAAAGTTCCCCTGCTTCATTCCAGTCCCTGCATGCACACTTTCTTTCCTTCCACCAAATATCTATATCTACTTGATTCTCATGTGATGGCAGTAGAAAATTCGGAGATGGTAATGGTACTAAACCCCACTGTCACCCTTCAGAATTTTCCGGTAGAAGCTGGTCCTCGAGGGACATTTCTCAGCCCCAAGGAGATTAGTAGGCCTACCCTGATGTTCAGAGGCTTAGAAGATATCGAGGCCTAGCCAAAGGTTCCAAACAGGAGACCCATAGGTCTAATAACCACCCGCAGATACTTTTTGTTTAGGCAACTGAGTGTTTTCATTCTGAATTTGAATGCCTTGGGGCTGGTGCTTCTCCCCGAGTTACATGGCAAGGTCTGGAGACATCTCTGGTTGTCAGAACTGGGTGAGGGGGTGCTACTGTCATCTAGTGGATAGAGGCCAGGGATGCCTGCTGTATCGTCTTATAATGCACATGACAGCCTCCACAGCAAAGCATCAGTAGTGCCAAGGTTGGGCAACGCTGCTTCACACTCAGGTTCCCACAATCCGTAGTCCTCCCTCTTATCTTGCACAGTCTACTTCCCTACCTGCCTAGCCCCTGTAGGCAAGTGAGTCTGCGCCCTTTCAATTAGACATATACGTCAGATAAGGGTCTCACGCTACTTAATAATTAACTCCCAAATAAAACCTCAGAATAAAATACAAAAACGACTTGGATCTTAGTGGCATAACCACAGGCACTTGTCTCACCTTTCAGGCTGCAGGAAAGCTGCAGCCATTCTCCCAGCCAAGTTCGACACCTCTCTTCAGCAATATGGGTGGAATTCAGGCCGCGAAGATAACAAGCCTAGATCGCTCAGAAGAGAAACAATCCTTAATTATCACAGAGCAAGTATGCCAAGGAAGTATAAACCCACAGAGAATCCCAAATCCCCTTTAAACAAGTTAAAACCTCATCCCCACAAGAAACCTTTCACCATGGCAATATGAACTCTGATGGACAGGATGAGAAGCAAAAAGGCCTATACAATCTAAAACAACAGATCTAAAGTGTAGTGTCCTTGCTTTTTGAAGGGCCAGAAGAAAACATACATAAACCAAAATTATTGTGGGCAACTCCTTCCCACTAGTTAAGTTCACTCAGAAAAAAAGACATGGAAATGAGGTGAGGGAATAAAGAGCCTGGGCTCTGCTGTAACAAGCAAGACAAGGAGCTCCCTGGAAGTTCCCAGCCCCGTGAGCTCAAAAGCCCACCAAGGACTGCAGGTTGATATTGCAATCAAGCGCTTACCGACTTCACCTCCTGCGCAGTCAGCTGACCAATCCCCAGCTTTGCCAAAGCCTTATCCAGTTGGTGAATCACAGTGGTATGAGTCTTTAAACGGTATCTCAACAAGACAGGAGGCAGATAAGGTGTGAGAAGCATTGCTCGACTCAAGGCTTTCTGTGACACAATACAGGGGGAGAAAGTCAACTCAGTGTTACTGCAAGTAAGACCTGAAGCGAGGTGAGGCCATGGAATAGAGAAAGCCTCAAGTGCTCACCATCTGCAAAGCATGGAGCTGGTTCATGCCCAGAGGATGGTTGGAGAAACACTCTCTCAGAGCCAGGATATCATGTATTGCTGGGTGGGTACCACGCTGCATCTTGGGAGAGGTAAGAGATGGGCAGATGTTAGGAAGGTCCAGACTAGCCTTCTTACCCAGTTTGAGTGCACGCTGGATCTAACAAGATTCCTGGTTTGCAGGAAGGGTTAATTGGAGGAATACCTTGGTGCACAATTCTGTCATATGCCACCGGAGTCCTGAATCAGAAATGAGAGGGATAACCTTTTCTAAATAACAAAGAATTTCTGGGTGGGACTGCTTCCGGAGAGCATGATAGATATCTAAGAAATCAATTTGTTGCTTTGGGGTCCAAAAATGTTGGATCAGCAGTTGCCTAGGAAACAGGTACCTGAAAAGAAAAGGAATCACAAAGTCACTTGCTGAAACTGGCATCTTTCAAAGTGAGCTAAGAAAGCATTTAGCAGACATGAATGCTTGGAGGAAGAGACGGAAACACTATTTCCCTACCTTACTGTTCTTTCCTGTAAATGAGTGTCAGACCAAGGTTTAAAGATACACTGAAGCCCAATTTCAAGCAACGTTACTGAGGTTATGTAAAAGGAAGCAGTAAGGGAACAGCCTTGTACGCAGCAATCAGATAAATGACTCCTTTTGAATCAAAGCATGTGATGAACATATTTTGGACAAAGCTGCAGACAGAGCTGGACTTTGTATGTGAGGTTGACAACCTCAAACTGTTCACAGTCCCTATGTGTATACAAAATGGAATTCCTCTAATTCATTTCTCTATACAGGCAGTGGTTTTAAAACATGGTTACAAATTCCCTGGCACTCTTCTTATTGAGAAGTGAGGTCTGTGCCTCTGGTTTTTAAAATCTGGATGAGTGCATCAACCAACAGAATAGAGCAGAAGTCTTTGTGACTTCCAAGGCTAGGTTATAAAAGGCCATGCAGGGCTTCCCTGGTGGTGCAGTGGTTGAGAGTCTGCCTGCCAATGCAGGGAACACCGGTTTGAGTCCTGGTCTGGGAAGATCCCACATGCCGCGGAGCAACTAGGCCTGTGCGCCACAACTACTGAGCCTGCGCGTCTGGAGCCTGTGCTCCGCAACAAGAGAGGCTGCGACAGTGAGAGGCCCGCGCACTGCAATGAAGAGTGGCCCCCGCTTGCCGCAACTAGAGAAAGCCCATGCACAGAAACAAAGACCCAACACAGCCAAAAAATAAATAAATAAATAAAATTAAAAGGCCATGCAGATTATTTTTTAAAGTTTCTTGAAACTTTTAAAAATTAATTAATTAATTAATTATTTAATTTAATTTTTGGCTGTGTTGGGTCATCGTTGCTGCGCGCGGGCTTTCTCTAGTTGCGGCGAGCAGGGGCTACTCTTCGTTGTGGGGTGCGGGCTTCTCATTGCAGTGGCTTCTCTTGTTGTGGAGCAAGGGCTCTAGGCACACAGGCTTCAGTAGTTGCAGCGTATGGACTCAGTAGTTGTGGCTCGCGGGCTCTAGAGCGCAGGCTCAGTAGTTGTGGCGCACGGGCTTAGTTGCTCCGCGGCATGTGGGATCTTCCCAGACCAGGGCTCGAACCCATGTCCCCTGCACTGGCAGGCGGATTCTTAACCACTGTACCACCAGGGAAGCCCCATGCAGATTCTGATTTGCTGGAACACTCATTCTTGGAGCCCTAAGCTGCCATGTAATAAGTCCCACTGCCCTGAAACCACCACATTACAGAGGCCATATGCAGGCACCCTAGTTGACGGTTCCAGTCTTCCAAAGCCATCCCGGCTAAGGCACCAGACCTAAGAGTGACCTTAGACTGTCCAGACAAGTCCATTCACCAGTTTTAACTATCACTGAGGGACACGGGAGAAAAATCTTTCACCCACCTGAGCCCTGCCCAAATTCCTGCCCCATAAAATCATGAAAATGGTGGTTGTTTTAAGCTATTAAGCTTTGAGGTTGTTTGTTATACAACAATAGATAACTAGAACAACATGCAAGGTCATAGTTTAAAACTGTCATCTTCAGATATAAGGTAAAGTAATAAAGATTGGTATTATCAGAATATGAAATGCATTTTTCTCCTGAAGAAAAAAATTTGTCCCAAGTTGCTATGCCTCTAAGAGAGTGGGTTACTGCCTCTAGGGATGATGGAAAAGATCATTATCTTATTTCACATCACACAGGAGCAGCCAAGAGACAGGGAGAAGCCAGGCCACCTACTCCTACAGCCGTCGCAGTAACCCAGGTGGCTTTTACGAACCTTGGGCTAATGAGAAAATTGAAGCAGAAGTTTGATAACCTCTGCCTAACTTCTGAAATGGAAAGTTCTTAATTTGTAATTTTTAAAAAATCTACATATCTTCAGTATGCCGGAGAGACAGAACTCTGTACTCACATTAGCAAGAAGACCAGGTAGTTGGCAAAGGGTGGAATGGAAAGAATACCTAGGAAAAGACACTTGGTGACGTCTCGACGGAACTAAGCAGAAATAAACACAGATGCAGTTTTAACCCACGAAAGTTTTCAGTACAATGGACAATCCCTCCACCCCACTGTGTAGTAAATTTCTATTAGAGCCCAGGTAAGGATCAAGGTTATTTCTATCTACCTCTAGTTGGTAAGTTCCTTAAGGACAGGAGCCCTGATCTGTTTACTTTTGTATCCCAAACAATGTCTAGTACAGGGCCTGACAGTATACCAAATCCCTAAGTAAATTCTTCCTGATCTGCAGAATGGTCCTAGATTCTTACTCTCAGCTTCAAAACTACCATCAAGTTACCACCAAATACTACTTTCCTGCTGCCTTTGGATCCTTCCTTGCAGATTTTTATATGTTCAGAAACGAACTGGACTTTACTGTTCACAACTTTTATTCAGAAAGTGTTCCAGAAACTCTACGGAGCTCTGCTATGGAGGCTCACAACTCTGAATGAACTGATTCTGACAAATGATCTGATCTCATGGCAAGGGGCAACAGCTTGGTCAGTGGTGAAGAAAATAGGAACGAAAAGACTTGAGTTCTGGGTTAACTTTAATTATATCACCATGAACTTCCGGATATCTGCCCTTGGCGCATACCTGTCTCAAATGCTCCATCTCCCGGTATGAAAGTTGATGAAACTTTATATTGTGCTTCCACATATTTGTCTTTATTCTTCTAGCCTTTTTGGCATCAGCCCATAACATCTGCAATCCTACCTCATTAAAGTAGAGGACAGAGTGTGATGTTATCCCAATCTGATTACCACAGCCTTTTGTTCCATGTTCACCCACAACACACACTTGTCCCTCCCTCCCCAATGCTACTCTAAATCAAAGCTTTAAACTAGGTCACTTGAAACTCTTGTGAGGCTGACCTATATTTCATTTCTTATGCTTCTCCCCTCTGCCCCCTCCCACCCCCCCTGCCCCCAGCATATCACCTCTCTTCCTGCCAAGCTGGCGTTCTGTGATCTACCAGGGAAAGGTCTCCCTCTTCTGGTTCATTACTCACTCCCTTTTTAAAATAAAAATTCAAAGCTCTTTAACCTCAGGAAGTCTTGCTCAATTAACCCTTTGTATATCTCAACCAGATATTAACTTATCTCTTTTCTAGAACACTTTTATAATTACTGGAATTCAACATATTTCTAAGACTGCATTTTCACTTAATTCCAAGATAATCCTTACACTGATCTAGAACTTTATAAAAATGTTTTCCTATTTCTGAATGAAATGGTATAATGTCTAGGTTGGCTTCAAAATAATACAGGAGAAAGCCAATGTATAAATGATATAAGACTGGTGGCCGTGAGTCAATAATTGTTGAAGTGAGGTTGAGAATATGGAAGTTCATTGTATTACTCTACTTCTGTGTTATGTTTGAAATTTTCTATAATAAAAGGCTTAAACACAAACAACCAAAATGCTTGCAAACTCTTTTTTTCATTTGATTCTAGTTATAAATCGGGGAGCAGACAAAGCAGTCATTCTTATCTCCACTTTACAGCTTTTGCAAGTACATGAAGCTAGTAATAATTATAATATTCAGAGCTGACAATGTGGGAGTTTACTATAATTGGTGTTATGATAAAAAAAGTAGAGTGGGCTTCCCTGGTGGCGCAGTGGTTGAGAGTCCGCCTGCCGATGCAGGGGACACGGGTTTGTGCCCCGGTCCGGGAAGATCCCACATACCGCGGAGCGGCTGGACCCGTGAGCCATGGCCGCTGAGCCTGCGCGTCCGGAGCCTGTGCTCCACAACGGGAGGGGCCACAAGAGTGAGAGGCCCGCGTACCGCAAAAAAAAATAAATAAATAAGTAGAGTATAATAGTTATAGCTACACTTACTGAGCACTCACGATGAATCTGGTCCTAAGGACTTTACGTGTATGGATTTATTTAATCTTCACAGCCATGCAGACAATAGGTAGGTTCTATTACTACCCTCATTTTACAGATGAGAAAACCAAAGAACAGAGAGGTTAAGTAACAAGTCCAATCACACAGCTAGTGACTAGGTGGGATTTGAACCCAGGTAGTCTGGCTCCAGGGTGGACACTTGACACTGTACCGTCTCCTAGTAACTAGCAGAGCTCTGATCTGAACCGAAACATTCAGAAACCAAGTACGTGTAGTGCTATTTCCACAACGTGCTACCCAGGAGAGATCTGTGACAAACATTAGACCACATTTTCTTACAAGCCAAGTCAACCGGTAAATCACGGGGCAGGTCTGTGCAGCTATAGATCTCTGCCCTTGTGCACGACAAATAATTTCTACTATAGTCAGATGTGTGGTTAGGAAAAGTGCAAAAATACCTATAATCCTCCTGGGTGTTGTCAGAAGTTGTTTCTCAACATACCTTTCTAGAAACATCAAGAAAGGCTAACTTATAAGAAATAGTTTAATGCTCAAGCATTTATGAAACAGAAGACATACCAGCTTACACCCCCATCGCAGAGCCTGCAAGTGACCTTACTTATTTTAACTCTCTGACACTGCCCAAGAGCTGATTCAATGGATTTTTATTTTAGTTTTGTCTTTACCTTTCATGAAGATTGTATACAGGACATAGAAGCGGGGGAAATGACGACCCAAGAAACGATGGTATTTCCCATTAATCACTTTTGTCTTGGTCACCACATAAGAGATCAAGCTCTTCATATCTGCCTTTGGAGAAAGGTGAAGCTTTGAAGACCTACAAGGAAGATGAAAGAGACTATCTGGGAACCAGCCTGGAAGCCCCTTCACGCCTGGGGTCCATAATGTAAAACATCTGCTTCAGAGAATGTATGCTAAGACCTGAAACTTCTGAAATCCAAAGATCTTGAGATCATGGAGAGATAAGCAGTCAGACTGAGAAAAACAGGGCAGATGAGAGGCCAGGCAAGAATGGATGTCGGGGAAGTGGTGAGTCTGGAGAGAGCGGAAGGCCTGAGGGACAATCTGAGCAGCAGGCTAAAGCCAGAGAGGTGAGATCCGGATAAGTAGCAGTAAAATCTGAGCCGAAAAAGGGAGGCTCAGGACACGTGGGGAATTCAGACAACATGGGGTACTGAGAATTGAGAGGGTCACGAAGCCAGGTCTCTAGCAGGGATCCCGGTGCGAATTCTGAGCGGCAGAATAAAAATCCAGGGGCCGGGGCGTGGAGCCCTGAGAATTAAGAGACAGCATGCAAACAAAATTGAGACACTGGAAGAGCCTGAACGTCAAAAATGCTTTTCTCTCCCCAAGTCCCTCACCGAGGGGCCCCCCAGGCCATGCCAGAGCGAACAAACTGCAGCCTCCGGGCGACATAAGGTCCAGGGGGCCCCGCCGAACCCCACAAAGCGGCCCGAGCCCAGCACACTCTGGAGACCGCCATCTTCGCAGTGAGGGAGGGGCAGACGAGAGTAAGTCGTCTTCAGGTCAAAGTTCCCGTACGTTGCGTTCGTTTGACAACGCATGCGCCTTTCCTGAGAGCTGATTGGTAACCACAGACCGTTCGCCTCGCGCTGCCCGGGCAAGGAGCGGACGCTAAGGCTAAGTTCGGAAGGAGGGCCAGGATTGGACGCCGCCGGCACTTCCTGGTTTAGAGGCGCCGGAAACCGGCTGTCCCGGAGGAAGCGAGAGAGTATCTGCTCTTGGTTGCGTTGTGATCCTGAGAATGTCCTCTCTTTGAGGGCCTCGTGACCCCTCGCGATGCTCTAGGGCCTCCGGGCTTCCTAGCGCCGCCGCCCTTGCTCTCTGTCCGTGTGCGGACTTCGGGGCCTTGGCGTGGCAGGTGCCGGAGGTCAGTTAGGCAGGGCCTGTGTCTACGGTGCCTCATGGGGGCTGGGAGGGCCCGCGGCGCCCTCTAGTGCCGGTCAAAGTTTGCAACTAAGGTTGGATGCCTGGAAGCCGCACCTCTGTGAACCAAGTCCGCTTTTTCCTTTTGTAGGCGTTTTTCAAAGTAGGTCTGTGGGAATGATACCTTAAGGTAAGTGCCTCCTGAAGACCAAGCTCGGGTCTCAACCTTAATGTCACTTTCCTGAGAGGCTCTCTCCGACCAGAGGGACATACGTTTTCTCCCATCACCCTGTGTATTTTTTTATAGCACTTACCACATCATTTATACGTTTGTTTCCTTTGACCGCCTCCCTGAACCACACTGAGGGCAAGCACCTTCTTGCCTTGTTCACTGCTGTACCTTACCCCCACCGCTGGGTGTCATGCCTGGCACCTAGTAGTTGCTCAATAAACTTTTTTTTTTTTTTTTTGCGGTACGCGGGCATCTCACTGTTGTGGCCTCTCCCGTTGTGGAGCACAGGGCCCGGACGCGCAGGCTCAGCGGCCACGGCTCACGGGCCCAGCTGCTCCGCGGCATGTGGAATCTTCCGGGACCGGGGCACGAACCCGTGTCCCCTGCATCGG